GTATATACACAGCAGTCATCACATGTTGTGTATATCACACAGTATTACACATACTAGTAGCTGTATATACACAGCAGTCATCACATGTTGTGTATATCACACAGTATTACACATACTAGTAGCTGTAGCTGTATATACACAGAAGTCATCACATGTTGTGTATATCACACAGTATTACACATACTAGTAGCTGTATATACACAGCAGTCATCACATGTTGTGTATATCACACAGTCACATACAGTAGCTGTATATACACAGCAGTCATCACATGTTGTGTATATCACACAGTATCACTCATACTAGTAGCTGTATATACACAGCAGTCATCACATGTTGTGTATATCACACAGTATCACACATACTAGTAGCTGTATATACACAGCAGTCATCACATGTTGTGTATATCACACAGTATCACTCATACTAGTAGCTGTATATACACAGCAGTCATCACATGTTGTGTATATCACACAGTATTACACATACTAGTAGCTGTATATACACAGCAGTCATCACATGTTGTGTATATCACACAGTATTACACATACTAGCTGTATATAACAGCAGTCTGTATATACACAGCAGTCATCACATGTTGTGTATATCACACAGTATTACACATACTAGTAGCTGTATATACACAGCAGTCATCACATGTTGTGTATATCACACAGTATTACACATACTAGTAGCTGTATATACACAGCAGTCATCACATGTTGTGTATATCACACAGTATCACACATACTAGTAGCTGTATATACACAGCAGTCATCACATGTTGTGTATATCACACAGTATCACACATACTAGTAGCTGTATATACACAGCAGTCATCACATGTTGTGTATATCACACAGTATTACACATACTAGTAGCTGTATATACACAGCAGTCATCACATGTTGTGTATATCACACAGTATTACACATACTAGTAGCTGTATATACACAGCAGTCATCACATGTTGTGTATATCACACAGTATCACTTATACTAGTAGCTGTATATACACAGCAGTCATCACATGTTGTGTATATCACACAGTATCACTTATACTAGTAGCTGTATATACACAGCAGTCATCACATGTTGTGTATATCACACAGTATCACTCATACTAGTAGCTGTATATACACAGCAGTCATCACATGTTGTGTATATCACACAGTATTACACATACTAGTAGCTGTATATACACAGCAGTCATCACATGTTGTGTATATCACACAGTATCACTCATACTAGTAGCTGTATATACACAGCAGTCATCACATGTTGTGTATATCACACAGTATCACTCATACTAGTAGCTGTATATACACAGCAGTCATCACATGTTGTGTATATCACACAGTATCACACATACTAGTAGCTGTATATACACAGCAGTCATCACATGTTGTGTATATCACACAGTATCACTCATACTAGTAGCTGTATATACACAGCAGTCATCACATGTTGTGTATATCACACAGTATTACACATATACTAGTAGCTGTATATACACAGCAGTCATCACATGTTGTGTATATCACACAGTATTACACATACTAGTAGCTGTATATACACAGCAGTCATCACATGTTGTGTATATCACACAGTATTACACATACTAGTAGCTGTATATACACAGCAGTCATCACATGTTGTGTATATCACACAGTATTACACATACTAGTAGCTGTATATACACAGCAGTCATCACATGTTGTGTATATCACACAGTATTACACATACTAGTAGCTGTATATATACACAGCAGTCATCACATGTTGTGTATATCACACAGTATTACACATACTAGTAGCTCATCACATGTTGTGTATATCACACAGTAGCTGTATATACACAGCAGTCATCACATGTTGTGTATATCACACAGTATCACTCATACTAGTAGCTGTATATACACAGCAGTCATCACATGTTGTGTATATCACACAGTATTACACATACTAGTAGCTGTATATACACAGCAGTCATCACATGTTGTGTATATCACACAGTATCACTCATACTAGTAGCTGTATATACACAGCAGTCATCATATGTTGTGTATATCACACAGTATTACACATACTAGTAGCTGTAGCTGTATATACACAGCAGTCATCACATGTTGTGTATATCACACAGTATTACACATACTAGTAGCTGTATATACACAGCAGTCATCACATGTTGTGTATATCACACAGTATCACACATACTAGTAGCTGTATATACACAGCAGAGTCATCACATGTTGTGTATATCACACAGTATCACTCATACTAGTAGCTGTATATACACAGCAGTCATCACATGTTGTGTATATCACACAGTATCACTCATACTAGTAGCTGTATATACACAGCAGTCATCACATGTTGTGTATATCACACAGTATCACACATACTAGTAGCTGTATATACACAGCAGTCATCACATGTTGTGTATATCACCAATCATCACATATTGTACCATACTAATATTGTATAACAGTTAATATGCTGTTTCAATGTACTTTTACTTTTTCCCCATTACATACAGTCTATGAAATTAAAAATATGGAAAACGTAATGTGTATTTGTTGTGTAATATAGAGCTATAAGCTTGCTTTCTTTAAACAAGGGCAAACCGCTTACTGTAGAAAAGTTGGTGCAGACATTCAAGACAAGTCATGGATTATTCCTGATAAATACCCAGGATCTTGTTCTTATATGCTTATCAGCAAGACCACTCTGGTTATAGCAAGCAAGCAAACAGCAGAGCTTTTAAGATATAGGGATCGGCGTTTTGGTCTTGTCTGAACCTCTCTGAAGGACACTATCCCACTGTGTAAGTGTAGTACACTTACAATAATTCTGCTTTCAATACTTCCGTGTTGTCAGGTTGATTTAAGTTGTTATGAGAAAGTATTTATTATGTGACGTCTAGATAACTGTAGCAGTATAGTTTATGTATCTAAATATCTACGTGATAAGAGGTATGTAGTATTTCTTGCTCTTATTAAGCGTACATGTATATTTAGGCCTGTGTTTACGATCCCCCAAAATGCCGCTTTCTGAGTCCGTCCGTGTGGGTTGCATTCACGGTTTATTCGTTCTGAAATACATTTGTAGAGTGTATTCTTAAGAAAATAGAAGTTCCTATAACACAACCAGTAGAAGATTAGAGTGTGACGTTTCTATGACTACTCGGTCACCTTCATCTTATAACACAACCAGTAGAAGATTAGAATGTGATGTTTCTATGACTACTCGGTCACCTTCATCTTATAACACAACCAGTAGAAGATTAGAGTGTGACGTTTCCATGACTACTCGGTCACCTTCATCTTATAACACAACCAGTAGATTAGAGTGTGACGTTTCCATGACTACACGGTCACCTTCATCTTATAACACAACCAGTAGAAGATTAGAGTGTGACGTTTCCATGACTACACGGTCACCTTCATCTTATAATACAACCAGTAGATTAGAGTGTGACGTTTCTATGACTACTCGGTCACCTACATCTTATAACACAACCAGTAGAAGATTAGAGTGTGACGTTTCCATGCCTACACGGTCACCTTCATCTTATAACACAACCAGTAGATTAGAGTGTGACGTTTCCATGACTACACGGTCACCTTCATCTTATAACACACCAAGTAGAGTATTAGAGTGTGACGTTTCCATGACTATACGGTCACCTTCATCTTATAATACAACCAGTAGAAGATTAGAGTGTGACGTTTCTATGACTACTCGGTCACCTTCATCTTATAACACAACCAGTAGAAGATTAGAGTGTGACGTTTCTATGACTACTCGGTCACCTACATCTTATAACACAACCAGTAGAGGATTAGAGTGTGACGTTTCTATGACTATTCGGTAACCTTCATCTTATAACCCAACCAATAGAAGATTAGAGTGGGACTGATACTATGTCCGCCAAATGACCATTGTGGAGCTTACAGGCACTGACGTACGTAGTGGACGAGATGGTACGAAATCGACCAACTTTTTCGGCTGTACTATAATCCTATGTACACTAAGGTCGAAAATAGTGTGACGAGATGGTAAATAGATAATTCTAAACTTTTATTGGTTGTGATATAAGAACTTGTATTCTATTGACATTACCAACCCGAGGAAAATGTTATGAAATACAAGAGTGTATTCCTGTTGTCAGAGATCTCCATTTCCTCAGGGGATCTACTTAACATGGTGCTTTACACACAATTCCTCATTAAAATTCAGTTTTAAATCGTTTTGTAGCGACGAGTTGAGCGAAAATTATTTTCTTATGTTTGATTGTGAAGTAAAAATGATTACATCCCACATTAACAGGATCCTAAATCCCAGTTTATACATAAGTGACAATAATGTGTTGTGTACTAGAATCAAGGCCCGTAACTCCTTTGTCACAGAGTTATCGCCCTTTGTTAAACATTCGTGTCTGAAAGATTATTTTGCTTACAATAAACAAGGATAATGTAACTGATGTGAATCAAAGTCGATGTGCAGCGTACCAAAATCATGGCTTGTGACCTCTTCATAACAGAGTTATTGCCCTTCGCTTAGCTTCTGTGCCTGGCGGATATTTGTATTTTGAATGATGCAGAGGAAACTCACATTTTAGTGTCACAAGTACATTTTGGAAACCATTTCTTTTAATTTTAAACTCTTGATTATGCCCCACATAATTAGCACTTCCAACATACTTATACTTGTACAAGTATCAAAAAGTGCCTATAGCTGACATGCACGTTAGCAAAAACATGTATGCGTCACGTGGAAATATCACTCTTTCATCTTCCAAGCTCTCCAATTTGATATATATTTTCAGAGACATGTGTCATTAATATCACCAAATATATGTGATATGGGTTTTAAAGTTGTGTTGCGTGTGTCTTGTATATGTTTTTATTGGGTTTTGCTTTTCTTTCGATTTACACGCTTACTGAATTTTGAAATAACACGAATGTGTTTATCTTGCAGGGTAAACAAAATCAACATGACAAAATTACTTCATTTTGGTGGTGTGTGGATGATTGGGTGCCTTGGAATTACTCGTAAGTCGTCTGTGCTCGTCACGTTAGCGTAATGTTGTAGCGGAACATAAACATTTCGTTGGTGTAGATGTTTGTTTGATAGAAAACATATTTGTTAGGATCGGTATGGGTTCTTATAGTTATTCCAACCAGATGCCTTTCACAATGTTAAGTTATAAGTCGTTACTTTCAAGACGATTATCGAGAGCGAAGTAAGATCTCAAAACTTTTGTCATTTGAAAAAATGTATAAACTGAGAAAACCATTATCTATTGTATTTCGTCTGTGAAAAAAAAAGAAACGTTTGAACTGGAAGCAGTTTGATCAAGTTTAGTAATTTATCATTTTTCAAAAGATTTAATACGGAGACAGTTATAAGTTATATAATATCATTTCAATGGTATACATTTTGATTAAACTAAACAATTGAATAAATCGATTAAAAATCAATTAAAAGGCAGGTATGTATTTGTAGGGCAATAAACCTTAATGGTCGATGTTGTAGCACTATGACCCGTGGTGGTCCATGTTTGTAGGACTAAGATCCGTGGTGGTTCATGTTTGTAGGACTATTACCCGTGGTGGTCCATGTTTGTAGGACTAAGTGCCGTGGTGGTCCATGTTTGTAGGACTATGACCCGTGGTGGTTCATGTTTGTAGGACCATGACCCGTGGTGGTCCATGTTTGTAGGACTAAGACCCGTGGTGGTCCATGTTTGTAGGACTATGACCCGTGGTGGTCCATGTTTGTAGGACTAAGATCCGTGGTGGTCCATGTTTGTAGGACTAAGATCCGTGGTGGTCCATGTTTGTAGGACTAAGACCCGTGGTGGTCCATGTTTGTAGGACTAAGATCCGTGGTGGTCCATGTTTGTAGGACTAAGACCCGTGATGGTCCATGTTTGTAGGACTATTACCCGTGGTGGTCCATGTTTGTAGGACTAAGATCCGTGGTGGTCCATGTTTGTAGGACTAAGACCCGTGATGGTCCATGTTTGTAGGACTAAGACCCGTGATGGTCCATGTTTGTAGGACTAAGACCCGTGGTGGTCCATGTTTGTAGGACTATTACCCGTGGTGGTCCATGTTTGTAGGACTATGGCCCGTGGTGGTCCATGTTTGTAGGACTAAGACCCGTGGTGGTCCATGTTTGTAGGACTATGACCCGTGGTGGTCCATGTTTGTAGGACTAAGACCCGTGGTGGTCCATGTTTGTAGGACTATGACCCGTGGTGGTCCATGTTTGTAGGACTAAGACCCGTGGTGGTCCATGTTTGTAGGACTATGACCCGTGGTGGTCCATGTTTGTAGGACTAAGACCCGTGGTGGTCCATGTTTGTAGGACTATGACCAGTGGTGGTCCATGTTTGTAGGACTAAGTTCCGTGGTGGTCCATGTTTGTAGGACAAAGTGCCGTGGTGGTCCATGTTTGTAGGACTAAGACCCGTGGTGGTCCATGTTTGTAGGACTATGACCAGTGGTGGTCCATGTTTGTAGGACTAAGATCCGTGGTGGTCCACGTTTGTAGGACTAAGATCCGTGGTGGTCCATGTTTGTAGGACTATTACCCGTGATGGTCCATGTTTGTAGGACTAAGTTCCGTGGTGGTCCATGTTTGTAGGACTATGACCCGTGGTGGTCCATGTTTGTAGGACTAAGACCCGTGGTGGTCGACGTTTGTAGCACTATGACCCGTGGTGGTCGACGTTTGTAGCACTATTACCCGTGATGGTCCATGTTTGTAGGACTATGGCCCGTGGTGGTCCATGTTTGTAGGACTAAGATCCGTGGTGGTCCATGTTTGTAGGACTATTACCCGTGGTGGTCCATGTTTGTAGGACTAAGATCCGTGGTGGTCCATGTTTGTAGGACTATGGCCCGTGGTGGTCCATGTTTGTAGGACTGTGATCCGTGGTGGTCCATGTTTGTAGGACTATGATCCGTGGTAGTCCATGTTGGTAGGACTAAAAATAATATGATGTAGCTTCGAAAGGATGGTCGCTCTCGCACCATAGGCTACCTTTAACGGCCATAGATAAGATCACTAGCGTTATTGTAATATAAGCATAATATAAAGTTAACATCATGATTAACGACAGAATTTATATAGTAGTCGCTTCAGAATTTATATATATTTCATCAGACGTTTTACTTGTGTGGTAAAATGAAGGTTACTAATATCAGGGCAAGTTTCAATAAACACACATATATATATATATATCGACGGTAAAAACTCTGAAAATAAGTAACAGTAAGACACAAAGAGGTAACAGATAATGTGTTCAGACGATATTTCTGTCTGGGCTTTTATTCAGAATGTATGGTTGAATTATTTCTTTTTGGTTGTCTGGTTTTTTTATTCATTATGCTGTACATTGATATTCCGCTGTTGTTTTCTTTGTTTTCATTTTGAGAGCGTGACATTACTTTGTATGTTTGACTAAGATTTAAATGCCGGTTGTTGTGGATGAAGCAGTAACCATTTCCTTATCTTGTTCTACTCGTACCTTTTGTCAGGAATCTCCATTGAAAGCTTTTGTTTGTTCCTATTTTACCGAAGTTTCATCACATTTGATTTTGAAGTCAGATTTTGTTGACCTATCGGTATTTTTGTTGATTCTTTAAGTAATCAGTAGTTTGATATATCAGGTTGTAAGTGTCTGAATTGACTAAATCTCAGAGTAAGATTGTGGTGACCAACAAAACTATCACACGAAGGTTAAGATATCCCTGTCTACAAAACACACTTATATTAGATTATTTCCTCACATACATGTAATTGAAAAAAGACACAATAGATTGTAAGTCGTTCTGGAACCTGTTTTCGTGCCGTCATCAATGTCTCATGAAATGTGAGTATAATTGGATGACGTTGTCAATTTGCGATGTTATAACACTATATAAAATAATAACAATATCCGCGCCATAGCGTCTGTCTTTCTATACCCCGTGTGATGGTATTCACCCTATGAAGTATAGGAGAAATATATGTTTTATATCAATGATAATGTTATTTTACGAACAGTTGCCTTTTTTGGACCAATGCATGAGAAGTGTGCCAAATATTGCTCTAAACCACCTCCTAAGGTCACCGGGGCCAAGACTGTCTGCATCACTGGCTGGGACAACTGTACATACTGCAAGTTTTACGTGAATAACTGTCCGGATATCCAAGACTGTAACAACAACGCTGCACCTGTTCCGTCCAAAGGAAATCACTGCATGATCTGTCCCGGTAAGTATCTGTCATCTATTCCATACCAAGAAATTCACTGTATGTTCTGTCCCGGTAAGTATATGTCATCTATTCCATACCGAGAGAATCACGGCATGATCTGTCCCGGTAAGTATCTGTCATCTATTCCATACCGAGAGAATCACTGTATGTTCTGTCTCGGTAAGTATATGTCATCTATTCCATACCGAGAGAATCACTGTATGATCTGTCCCGGTAAGTATCTGTCATCTATTCCATACTGAGAGAATCATTATGATCTGTCCCGGTAAGTATCTGTCATCTATTCCATACCAAGAAATTCACTGTATGATCTGTCCCGGTAAGTATCTGTCATCTATTCCATACCGAGAGAATCAATGTATGTTCTGTCCCGGTAAGTATCTGTCATCTATTCCATACCGAGAGAATCACGACATGATCTGTCCCGGTAAGTATCTGTCATCTATTCCATACCGAGAGAATCACGGCATGATCTGTCCCGGTAAGTATCTGTCATCTATTCCATACCGAGAGAATCACGGCATGATCTGTCACGGTAAGTATCTGTCATCTATTCCATACCGAGAGAATCACGGCATGATCTGTCCCGGTAAGTATCTGTCATCTATTCCATACCGAGAGAATCACTGTATGATCTGTCCCGGTAAGTATATGTCATCTATTCCATACCGAGAGAATCAATGTATGTTCTGTCCCGGTAAGTATCTGTCATCTATTCCATACCGAGAGAATCACGGTATGATCTGTCCCGGTAAGTATATGTCATCTATTCCATACCGAGAGAATCATTATGATCTGTCCCGGTAAGTATATGTCATCTATTCCATACCGAATCAATGTATGATCTGTCCCGGTAAGTATCTGTCATCTATTCCATACCGAGAGAATCACGGCATGATCTGTCCCGGTAAGTATCTGTCATCTATTCCATACCGAGAGAATCACGGCATGATCTGTCCCGGTAAGTATCTGTCATCTATTCCATACCGAGAGAATCACTGTATGATCTGTCCCGGTAAGTATCTGTCATCTATTCCATACCGAGAGAATCACGGCATGATCTGTCCCGGTAAGTATCTGTCATCTATTCCATACCGAGAGAATCACGGCATGATCTGTCCCGGTAAGTATCTGTCATCTATTCCATACCGAGAGAATCACTGTATGATCTCTCCCGGTAAGTATCTGTCATCTATTCCATACCGAGAGAATCACTGTATGATCTCTCCCGGTAAGTATCTGTCATCTATTCCATACCGAGAGAATCAATGTATGTTCTGTCCCGGTAAGTATCTGTCATCTATTCCATACCGAGAGAATCACGGTATGATCTGTCCCGGTAAGTATCAGTCAGGTGGTCGGGTGGTGCAGTGGTAACGTCCGGGTTTCGATTCCCGGATTAGATGTGAAAAGGTATGGGGTTACCTGCCCGACCCGGGTTCTCCGGTTTCCTCCTTTCCCTCGCGCGCTTCCATCCGAGCCAACAAGAGTGATTAATATAAGTTGGGAAAACTTGCTTCGCTATCGTTGTAAAATAAATGAAGTTTATCACTATTGTTGTATTACTTATATATTCTGTATATACATGTATATATTTCTACCTTTTTATTTATATACAGATGTTGACTGTGTTTATAACGGACATGTATACTACGCGGAGGAAATGTTCGACTCTGTTGACGGAATAAACAAGTGCATGTGTTTGAGGGGCGGACATATCAAATGTGAAGAACATTATCTTGGCTCAAGTTTTACATTTTGCTCATGATTGAACTGAATGAATTGTTTACGACTGTATTAAGATATATACCTATATTAGTTACAGATTAAATAACACTGATTACCAATGTCTACTTTGTTTCGCTGCTCATCTGTCAATCTAATTTATTCGGGTTAAATGTTCGTGATCTCGTTTTCGTCAATACATATGTATCTGCAACACGATTTGTAAACGTTAAAAAAACCAAAGGATTATTGACTGTTAAGAATTAAAGAGATAATACATATTTCAAAAAGGTATTGTTTGTATTACTGACCCAAATAAAGTTTAAAGTGTCACGAAAACGTCTCGTAACAATTCTTTGTTTCATAGATTAAACATGGAGAACAGTTTGATATAAATTGATAAGTAAATATGACGATATGTGTAACTGTGTTACACTTGGCGTTGATGTATGTGACTACAAACAGTAGTGTTATAGAGCAAAGGTAGCCTGCAGCACGATACATATTAGTGAAGGCCTTTTTTTCTATACAGATTAAGGATTAGATACAGCCAAGAATGAATTGAGCTGCATCATACAGCTGTATCGTCCTTCTCAATCTCATCACTGATACTCAGGACCTAATATTGTGTAAGCTTTACTTAAGAAGAGGACAAACGAATCGTCGTTTCATCCGTCATCAAATACTTCACGATTCCTAATGATTCCAGCAATGGCGACCGCGCCATGACAGTTGACTTCAATGAAGAAGAACATGCCTACCATTTCGGGACATCTTATATTTGTACCTATCAAGTGTCTGTGTGAGGATCTCTCTATATTTTACCCTCGTTTCAACCAGAAAGAATGAAAAATTAACAGTTAAACATATCAATATTTGTCCATTTAGGATTCATCGGATCATGCAATACACATATACTCGGCGTTCTTTAAAAATACTAAATAAGATTATTATTACAGACTGAAATATGAGGATGCCACACACCAAATATCTAGCACTTAATATATTGTAACAGTGCACAGACTGAAATATGAAGATACAACATATCAAATATCCAGCACTCAACAGAACAAAACTCAGTGAAACAACGCAAGCCACAATATAACCAGTTCCCTCCACTATATAATTCATCCCAGCAGATACTGTGTAAAACGAATAATTGGCTGCATGAAGATTTTCGTCGTTTTCGTGGCTAAAGAAAATCTCGAGAAATGAAACTGCAACGACAAAGATAAGTTTTGTGTGGTATTTACACAAGGTTTACATTTTTTTTTTAAATTAAAGAAAGTATTTGTGAACCACCCAATCACATACTTGTCTGAATGATACAGAGAAATACAATATTCATAAAAATGTTAAATTTTTGTCGAGAATAAATTTTGCGCGTTTCAGCAGTGTCAGTGATGTGTGACACACGACTTAGAGTCAGTTCTCAGGGTCAGTTTCTCATGTATCATAACCTGATAATAATGTATTTATGCAATCTTGAGACATTTCTTAACCCACGCTCTGTTTCACTGTCATACCTATCTGTTTGTTACATAATTTCCATTAGTGTAGCAACCCTCTCGCCAATCATCTGCATATATGATAGAATTTCCTCTTTAGGCTCGTCACGTTGTAGGTTAACGATATGCCGACAAATTGCAAGGCAAGTTGTCATCATCATGTTTCGCTATACATTTATTGTTTTATAAAAAGATCTCCGTTAAAGCTTGTAGTAATTTAGTGAGAATGACTTATCCTTCGTAGAACATGTCTCCTTAACCATGTGAATTATTTTGTCTGATAGAAAGTCCTAGTTTCATCTGATCTGCGTGCGCACGTGACATCCACTGGTGTGTGGCGTTTACACACTGTAATCACATACACTTTTTCTAATTAATATTTTATTCTTTGATGTCCGAAGCCAACATGCAACCCATATTCTGATACAATGACGTTGTATTATGTTCACCTTGCAACATTTACTTAAACTTCTGACTGTTGAAACTGCACACACTTTTGTTCAATCTTTTTTCCGTAAGATACAAGATACAAGAAACTTTATTTCATGTCGAATATTACAAACAGTAAACATAAGCTCTGGTGAGCTCTGGTGAGCTCTGGTGAGCTTGTTCTTCGACATAATACGAAACAAAATAACATGCAACATGATATTAGCAACAAGCAGCAGAGAATATGTATCACAGCCAATATATATATATATCACAGAGAATATGTATCACAGTCAATATATATATCACAGAGGATATGTATCACAGTCAATATATATATATATATCACAGAGGATATGTATCACAGTCAATATATATATCACAGAGGATATGTATCACAGTCAATATATATATCACAGAGGATATGAGGATATGTATCACAGTCAATATATATATATATCACAGAGGATATGTATCACAGTCAATATATATATATATCACAGAGGATATGTATCACAGTCAATATATATATATATATCACAGAGGATATGTATCACAGTCATATATATATATATCACAGAGGATATGTATCACAGTAATATATATATATATACAGAGGATATGTATCACAGTATATATATATATATATATCACAGAGGATATGTATCACAGTCAATATATATATATATATGTATCACAGAGGATATATATCACAGTCAATATATATATATATGTATCACAGTCAATATATATATATATATATCACAGAGGATATGTATCACAGTCAATATATATATATATATACAGAGGATATATATATATATATATATATATCACAGAGGATATGTATCACAGTCAATATATATATATATATATCACAGAGGATATGTATCACAGTCAATATATATATATATATAACAAAGTGTATATCTATGACAGACAAGATAAATATATAAAACACAGACGATCTGTAACAGAGTCAATATATATATATATATATATATCACAGAGGATATGTATCACAGTCAATATATATATATATATCACAGAGGATATGTATCACAGTCAATATATATATATATATATATATATATATATATCACAGTCATATGTATATATATATATATATATATCATATGTATCACAGTATACATATATATATATATATATATCACAGAGGATATGTATCACAGTCAATATATATATATATATATGTATCACACAGAGGATATGTATCACAGTCAATATATATATATATATATCACAGAGGATATGTATCACAGTCAATATATATATATATATATATATATCACAGAGTATATGTATCACAGTCAATATATATATCACAGAGGATATGTATCACAGTCAATATATATATATATATACAGAGGATATGTATCACAGTCAATATATATATATATATATATGTATATATATATCACAGAGGATATGTATCACAGGCAATATATATATATATATCACAGAGGATATGTATCACAGTCAATATATATATATATATCACAGAGGATATGTATCACAGTCAATATATATATATATATATATATCACAGAGGATATGTATCACAGTCAATATATATATATATATCACAGAGGATATGTATCACAGTCAATATATATATCACAGAGGATATGTATCACAGTCAATATATATATATATATATCACAGAGGATATGTATCACAGTCATATATATATATATATATATATCACAGAGGATATGTATCACAGTCAATATATATATATATATCACAGAGGATATGTATCACAGGCAATATATATATATATATCACAGAGGATATGTATCACAGTCAATATATATATCACAGAGGATATGTATCACAGTCATTATATATATATCACAGAGGATATGTATCACAGTCAATATATATATATCACAGAGGATATGTATCACAGTCATTATATATATATCACAGAGGATATGTATCACAGTCAATATATATATATATATCACAGAGGATATGTATCACAGTCAATATATATATATATATATCACAGAGGATATGTATCACAGGCAATATATATATATATATATCACAGAGGATATGTATCACAGTCAATATATATATATATATATCACAGAGGATATGTATCACAGGCAATATATATATATATATCACATATATATATATATATATATCACAGAGGATATGTATCACAGTCAATATATATATATATATCACAGAGGATATGTATCACAGTCAATATATATATATATATATACAGAGGATATGTATCACAGTCAATATATATATATATATATCACAGAGGATATGTATCACATATATATATATATATATCACAGAGGATATGTATCACAGTCAATATAATATATATATATCACAGAGGATATGTATCACAGTCAATATATATATATATATATATACAGAGGATATGTATCACAGTATGTATCAATATATATATATATATATCACAGAGGATATGTATCACAGTCAATATATATATCACAGAGGATATGTATCACAGGCAATATATATATATATCACAGAGGATATGTATCACAGTCAATATATATATCACAGAGGATATGTATCACAGTCAATATATATATCACAGAGGATATGTATCACAGGCAATATATATATATATATATCACAGAGGATATGTATCACAGTCAATATATATATATATATCACAGAGGATCTGTATCACAGTCAATATATATATATATATATCACAGAGGATATGTATCACAGTATATATATATATATATATCACAGAGGATATGTATCACAGTCAATATATATATATATATATCACAGAGGATATGTATCACAGTAATATAAGTATATATATCACAGAGGATATATATATATATATATATATATATATCACAGAGGATATGTATCACAGTCAATATATATATATATATATATCATATATATCACAGTCAATATATATATATATCACAGAGGATATGTATATATATATATATATATATCACAGAGGATATGTATCACAGTCAATATATATATATATATATATATATCACAGAGGATATGTATCACAGTCAATATATATATATATATATATCACAGAGGATATGTATCACAGTCAATATATATATATATCACAGAGGATATGTATCACAGGCAATATCTATATATATATATCACAGAGGATATGTATCACAGGCAATATATATATATATATCACAGAGGATATGTATCACAGAGGATATGTATCACAGGCAATATATATATATATATCACAGAGGATATGTATCACAGTCAATATATATATATATCACAGAGGATATATATATATATATCATATGTATCACAGTCAATATATATATATATATATCACAGAGGATATATATATATATATATATATATATCACAGTCAAGTCATATATATATATATATATATATCACAGTCAATATATATATATATATATCACATTAGTATATAGATATCACAGTCAATATATATATATATCACAGAGGATATGTATCACAGTCAATATATATATATATATATCACAGAGGATATGTATCACAGTCAATATATATATATATATATCACAGAGGATATGTATCACAGTCAATATATATATATATATCACAGAGGATATGTATCAATATATATATATATATATATCACAGATCACAGGCATATATATATATCACAGAGGATAATGTATCATATATATATATATATCACAGAGGATATGTATCACAGTCAATATATATATATATATATATCACAGAGGATATGCCACAGTTTATATATATATATATCACAGAGGATATCACAGTATATATATATATATATATACATATATATATATATATATATATATCACAGAGGATATGTATCACAGGCAATATATATATATCACAGAGGATATGTATCACAGTCAATATATATATATCACAGAGGATATGCATCACAGTCAATATATATATATCACAGAGGATATGCATCACAGTCAATATATATATATCACAGAGGATATGCATCACAGTCAATATATATATATCACAGAGGATATGTATCACAGGCAATATATATATATATATCAGCGGATATGTATCACAGTATATATATATATATATATATCACAGTCAATATATATATATATGTATCACAGAGGATATGTATCATATATATATATATATATATATCACAGAGAATGTATCACAGTCTTTATATATATAATCACAGAGGATATGTATATATATATATATATCACAGAGGATATGTATCACAGTCAATATATATATATCACAGAGGATATGTATCACAGTCAATATATATATATATATATCACAGAGGATATGTATCACAGTCAATATATATATATATATATCACAGAGGATATGTATCACAGTCAATATATATATATACATCAAGGATATGTATCACAGTCAATATATATATATATATCACAGAGGATATGTATCACAGTCAATATATATATATATACATATATATATATATATCACAGAGGATATGTATCACAGTCAATATATATATATATATATACAGAGGATATGTATCACAGTCAATATATATATATATAGGATATGTATCACAGTCAATATATATATATATATATACAGAGGATATGTATCACAGTCAATATATATATATATATCACAGAGGATATATATCACAGTCAATATATATATATATATATCACAGAGAATATGTATCACAGTAAATATATATATATATATCACAGAGTATATGTATCACAGTCAATATATATATATATATCACAGAGGATATGTATCACAGTCAATATATATATATATATCACAGAGGATATGTATCACAGTCAATATATATATCACAGAGGATATGTATCACAGTCAATATATATATCACAGAGGATATGTATCACAGTCAATATATATATATCACAGAGGATATGTATCACAGTCAATAGCAATTTATACACAGATTATAAACAAAAAGAAGTTATCACATTTTATATTTTTCAGTAATCAGATAAGACTAAATAGGCTAAGATTGAACACGTGCATATCTGATATACACAGGTATTTCTTGCTGCCGTTGTCGTGACGGTGAACTATTCCTGATGACGTACACCACGCGTGGGAATATAGTTTCAAATTTCAACGCATATGAATGTTTGCTACAAGAATAAAATCGCTTGTTTAGACAGTTTTTATTTTATGATGTAACATTTGGGTAAATGAGAAAGCAATTCTGTCGAATTAATGCACGTGCTGTCATACAGATAATTATCATCATTGCCGAATATAGTAAAATGACACGTTCCAAGTGTATTCAAATAATGAAAGTATTATATGTATTAACATGTTATAAATTCAAACATAACGATTTAATTCATTAAAGCAGCGACGTCATCATATTGTTAATTATACAACACGTCATACTTCACAGGCTAAAGTCTGTCATAGTAGATACAACACGTCATACTTCCCTGTCTGTTCACCATAGTAGATACAACACGTCATACAACACGTCATACTTCCCTGTCGGCTCATAGTAGATACAACACGTCATACTTCCCTGTCGGACCATAGTAGATACAACACGTCATACTTCCCTGTCGGCTCATAGTAGATACAACACGTCATACTTCCCTGTCGGCTCATAGTAGATACAACACGTCATACTTCCCTGTCGGCTCATAGTAGATACAACACGTCATACTTCCCTGTCTGCTCATAGTAGATACAACACGTCATACTTCCCTGTCGGCTCATAGTAGATACAACACGTCATACTTCCCTGTCGGACCATAGTAGATACAACACGTCATACTTCCCTGTCGGACCATAGTAGATACAACACGTCATACTTCCCTGTCGGCTCATAGTAGATACAACACGTCATACTTCCCTGTCTGTTCATAGTAGATACAACACGTCATACTTCCCTGTCGGCTCATAGTAGATACAACACGTCATACTTCCCTGTCGGCTCATAGTAGATACAACACGTCATACTTCCCTGTCTGCTCATAGTAGATACAACACGTCATACTTCCCTGTCTGCTCATAGTAGATACAACACGTCATACTTCCCTGTCTGTTCATAGTAGATACAACACGTCATACTTCCCCGTCGGACATACAACACGTCATACTTCCCTGTCTGCTCATAGTAGATACAACACGTCATACTTCCCTGTCGGCTCATAGTAGATACAACACGTCATACTTCCCTGTCGGCTCATAGTAGATACAACACGTCATACGTCTCTGTCTGCTCATAGTAGATACAACACGTCATACTTCCCTGTCTGCTCATAGTAGATACAACACGTCATACTTCCCTGTCTGTTCATAGTAGATACAACACGTCATACTTCCCCGTCGGACCATAATAGATACAATACGTCATACTTCCCTGTCGGCTCATAGTAGATACAATACGTCATACTTCCCTGTCTGTTCATAGTAGATACAACATGTTATACTTCTCTGTCGGCTCATAGTAGATACAACACGTCATACTTCCCTGTCGACTCATAGTAGATACAACACATAATTCCCTGTCGGCTCATAGTAGATACAACACGTCATACTTCCCTGTCGGATCATAGTAGATACAACACATAATTCCCTGTCGGCTCATAGTAGATACAACACGTCATATTTCCCTATCGGATCATAGTAGATACAACACATACTTCCCTGTCGGCTCATAGTAGATACAACACATAATTCCCTGTCGGACCATAGTAGATACAACACGTCATACTTCCCTGTCGGCACATAATATACACAACATGTCATACTTCCCTGTCTGCTCATAGTAGATACAACACGTCATACTTCCCTGTCTGCTCATAGTAGATACAAACATGTCATACTTCCCTGTCTGATCATACTAGATACAACACCTCATACTTCCCTGTCTGTTCATATTAGATACAACACGTCATACTTCTCTGTCGGCTCATAGTAGATACAACACGTCATACTTCTCTGTCGGCACATAGTATACACAACACGTCATACTTCCCTGTCGCCTCATTATAGATACAACACGTCATACTTCTCTGTCGGCACATAGTAGATACAACACGTCATACTTCTCTGTTGGCTCATACATTTATCCTGGCTCTACTTGTATGTAATGATATGGATGTATGTCCAATGTTAAGCAGAATACTTGTAAACCACTGAATATGCACTACAATTATACAAAATACAATTAATAAAAAGTTAAACATAGCATTTTTTTCTTTTTGATGAAAAAAAGCAATAAAGAAAAGAAGAACAATGTGCCTGCTGTTAAGAGTTTTTATAAAGAACACAGAACACTTACTCTGAAATATACACGAATACAACCCTAAATCTGTGTTTATATATATCTGTAAGAGACAGGAATGTGTATGTACTTTTACTTTAATTATCATAAGGGTATTTAGTACAATATATAAACAGCAGAAAAAGCGAATACTTGTACAAAGACTAATTAAGAATGAAATACAAAACTATATCCAGAGGTTCATATTACTGTCCGAATCAGATATATTTACAGTAAGCAGATTTAAACGATGAATATTACATAAAGCTAGCGAAGCTTACGTCATTATCCTTAAGTTTATTCGCAGAATTATTATGATATCAGGACATTTACATAAATCTGGACTATCTAACACCTAATTCTGTCTAGATATGCGTGATGGATGTCCTAACGATCTTGAAATGGTACATCCTGTAAAGCAGGCTTATTTAATCGAAAGGAAGTTTCTGCACCGGTCGTGCCTTGAGGTATGTGTCACGTATCCAATGTGTTAAATTAAATGATAAATCTAATTAATATTTAAAATAGATAAAATAGATTAAATGACAAATTTTACCATAAATTGTTGATGTGTTTATGATAACAGATTTACATCATACAATTTAAATTAATTCTATTTATTAAATTGTATGTAATATTAATCATGTCGAAGACTTGCGATATAAAAAAAAATTGTAATATTTATATCGGTTTTTGCAGTCTTTATTCAGCAGTATGAACGGATCGTCACTCCTGGTGTGGCTAAGTATCATAGGCTATGTCGGTGAGTATTTCTGCATTATGCTTTAAATTACTTCGATTTAACAATCATATGTCATAGATATAAATTCCCTTTTACAGAATTATAATTCAAACATTCACTTTTGCGTACTGAACTGTCAATAAATTCAATTACACGTATTTAATAAATTCACATGAATCTTCATGGTACATAATTACACGTTTGTTGACTATCAACACACGTTCACCTAGTCAGATAGCTGTTCTCTTTGTAGTACATAATTATACGTTTGTTGACTATCAATACAAGTTAATATGGTCTAATAGCTGTTATCTTTGTAGTACAGAATTATACGTTTGCTGACTATCAATACAAGTTAACATGTTCTAATAGCTGTTATCTTTGTAATACATAATTATACGTTTGTTTGTTATCAATACAAGTTAACATAGTCTAAAAGCTGTTATCTTTGTAGTACATAATTATACGTTTGTCTGTTATCAATACAAGTTAACATAGTCTAATAGCTGTTATCTTTGTAGTACAGAATTATACGTTTGTTGACTATCAACACACGTTCACCTAGTCAAATAGCTGTTATCTTTGTAGTTCATAATTATACGTTTGTTGACTATCAATACAAATTAATATGGTCTAATAGCTGTTATCTTTGTAGTACATAATTATACGTTTGTTGACTATCAACACACGTTCACCTAGTCAAATAGCTGTTATCTTTGTAGTACATAATTATACGTTTGTCTGTTATCAATACAAGTTAACATGTTCTTATAGCTGTTATCTTTGTAATACATAATTATACGTTTGTCTGTTATCAATACAAGTTAACATAGTCAAACAGCTGTTATCTTTGTAGTACATAATTATACGTTTGTCTGTTATCAATACAAGTTAACATGTTCTTATAGCTGTTATCTTTGTAATACATAATTATACGTTTGTCTGTTATCAATACAAGTTAACATAGTCAAACAGCTGTTATCTTTGTAGTACATAATTATACGTTTGTCTGTTATCAATACAAGTTAACATGTTCTAATAGCTGTTATCTTTGTAATACATATTTATACGTTTGTCTGTTATCAATACAAGTTAACATAGTCAAACAGCTGTTATCTTTGTAGTACATAATTATACGTTTGTCTGTTATCAATACAAGTTAACATAGTCTAATAGCTGTTATCTTTGTGGTACAGAATTATACGTTTGTTGACTATCAATACACGTTCCCATAGTCTAATAGCTGCTATCTTTGTAGTACATAATTATACGTTTGTCTGTTATCAATACAAGTTAACATAGTCTAATAGCTGTTATCTTTGTGGTACAGAATTATACGTTTGTTGACTATCAATACACGTTCCCATAGTCTAATAGCTGCTATCTTTGTAGTACATAATTATACGTTTGTCTGTTATCAATACAAGTTAACATAGTCTAATAGCTGTTATCTTTGTAGTACATAATTTTACGTTTGTCTGTTATTAATACACGTTCCCATGTTCTTATCGTTGTTATCTCTCTTTACCAATGCATTTTGTTAAATAAGATTTGATTATATTTGTATTCCTTATACAAATTCACAGCAATAGCATGTTAACTTAAATTTCACTTAAAATAAAAACGAAATCGACTCATCAAAAAGCAACACCCTACATTATGATTTGGCTCGTTTGAAGTTGAACAGTCTTTCCTTATTCTGTTAATTATCGGTACTTTGCACATTGTGTTTAATTTTTTTTGTTTTGATTTTTTTGTGGTCACATTGTCAAAATCGATTGAAGTGTTTAAATGTAGCCCCATAACTTAAAATCATTTGATAATTTGTCTGTTTTATGTATCAGCACGTTTGTGTTCAGTTACCTTTATGTTTTCTATATATCAGAAGAGATTTACAGTCCAGGGATACCCTATCTTATTGTTCTTGTCCCTTTTGAGGGATGCATGTGTATGTCTTTCTTTTCGTCATAATTATGTATTCGTTTCATCATATTTTTAATTAATATTCTGGTGATATGACGACACTTTTTGTCATTGGGTTTCCCCCATTTGCTACTGCTCAAAAAGTATGCAGATTATAATGTTTCGGGTAAAAATGTTATTCATTTCGTTGCCTTTTTTGCCAGATTTCTGTACCTGTAGAATGATTATGATGTCTACGACTTTGCAAATATAACTTATTTTCCGTGATACATATGTTTTTTTTTATAGATAGACTTTTACAAAACTTCTCGTTAAACTTGTTTTGGCGTCGTATGGTAGTATGTAACTTACATCAAAGAGACATCGATTGTGAACTGTGCTTTGATTGTTAATTTCCTGTTTGTAGCCCTAATGTCTTTGTTGTTGTTAATTTTCTGTTTGTAGCCCTAATGTCTTTGTTGTTGTTGATTTCCTGTTTGTAACTCTAATGTCTTTGTTGTTGTTGATTTTCTGTTTGTAGCCCTAATGTCTTTGTTGTTGTTGATTTTCTGTTTGTTGCCCTAATGTCTTTGTTGTTGTTGATTTTGTGTTTGTAGCCCTAATGTCTTTGTTGTTGTTGATTTCCTGTTTGTTGCCCTAATGTCTTTGTTGTTGTTAATTTCCTGTTTGTAGCCCTAATGTCTTTGTTGTTGATGATTTTCTGTTTGTAGCCCTAATGTCTTTGTTGTTGTTGATTTTCTGTTTGTAGCCCTAATGTCTTTGTTGTTGATGATTTTCTGTTTGTAGCCCTAATGTCTTTGTTGTTGATGATTTTCTGTTTGTAGCCCTAATGTCTATGTTGTTGTTGTTGATTTTCTGTTTGTAGCACTAATGTCTTTGTTGTTGTTGATTTTCTGTTGTTTGCCCTAATGTCTTTGTTGTTGTTGATTTCCTGTTTGTAGCCCTAATGTCTTTGTTGTTGTTGATTTCCTGTTGGTTGCCCTAATATCTTTGTTGTTGTTGATTTACTGTTTGTAGCCCTAATGTCTTTGTTGTTGATGATTTTCTGTTTGTTGCCCTAATGTCTTTGTTGTTGTTGATTTCCTGTTTGTAGCCCTAATGTCTTTGTTGTTGATGATTTTCTGTTTGTAGCCCTAATGTCTTTGTTGTTGTTGATTTTCTGTTTGTAGCACTTATGTCTTTGTTGTTGTTGATTTTCTGTTTGTAGCCCTAATGTCTTTGTTGTTGTTGATTTTCTGTTTGTAGCCCTAATGTCTTTGTTGTTGTTGATTTCCTGTTTGTAGCACTAATGTCTTTGTTGTTGATGATTTCCTGTTTGTTGCCCTGATGTCTTTGTTGTTGATTTATTGTTTGTAGCACTAATGTCTTTGTTGTTGTTGATTTTCTGTTTGTAGCCCTAATGTCTTTGTTGTTGTTGATTTCCTGTTTGTAGCCCTAATGTCTTTGTTGCTGTTGATTTCCTGTTTGTAGCCCTAATGTCTTTGTTGTTGTTGATTTCCTGTTTGTAGCCCTAATGTCTTTGTTTGTTGTTGATTTCCTGTTTGTAGCCCTAATGTCTTTGTTGTTGTTGATTTCCTGTTTGTAGCCCTAATGTCTTTGTTGTTGTTGATTTCCTGTTTGTAGCCCTAATGTCTTTGTTGTTGATGATTTTCTGTTTGTAGCCCTAATGTCTTTGTTGTTGATGATTTTCTGTTTGTAGCCCTAATGTCTTTGTTGTTGTTGATTTCCTGTTTGTAGCACTAATGTCTTTGTTGTTGATGATTTTCTGTTTGTAGCCCTAATGTCTTTGTTGTTGTTGATTTTCTGTTTGTAGCCCTAATGTCTTTGTTGTTGATTTCCTGTTAGTAGCCCTAATGTCTTTGTTGTTGTTGATTTTCTGTTTGTAGCCCTAATGTCTTTGTTGTTGTTGATTTTCTGTTTGTAGCCCTAATATCTTTGTTGTTGTTGATTTCCTGTTGGTTGCCCTAATGTCTTTGTTGTTGTTAATTTCCTGTTTGTAGCCCTAATGTCTTTGTTGTTGTTGATTTTCTGTTTGTAGCCCTAATATCTTTGTTGTTGTTGATTTCCTGTTTGTTGCCCTAATGTCTTTGTTGTTGTTGATTTCCTGTTTGTAGCCCTAATGTCTTTGTTGTTGTTGATTTCCTGTTTGTAACCCTAATGTCTTTGTTGTTGTTGATTTCCTGTTTGTAACCCTAATGTCTATGTTGTTGATGATTTTCTGTTTGTAGCCCTAATGTCTTTGTTGTTAATGATTTTCTGTTTGTAGCACTTATGTCTTTGTTGTTGTAGCCCTGTTGTCTTTGTTGTGTTGATTTCCTGTTTGTAGCCCTTCTTTGTTGTATTTCCTGTTTGTAGCCCTAATGTCTTTGTTGTTGTTGATTTTCTGTTTGTAGCCCTAATGTCTTTGTTGTTGTTGATTTTCTGTTTGTAGCCCTAATGTCTTTGTTGTTGATGATTTCCTGTTGTTTGCCCTAATGTCTTTGTTGTTGTTGATTTTCTGTTTGTAGCACTTATGTCTTTGTTGTTGTTGATTTTCTGTTTGTAGCCCTAATGTCTTTGTTGTTGTTGATTTTCTGTTTGTAGCACTTATGTCTTTGTTGTTGTTGATTTTCTGTTTGTAGCCCTAATGTCTTTGTTGTTGTTGATTTTCTGTTTGTAGCCCTAATGTCTTTGTTGTTGTTGATTTCCTGTTGTGTATTTTCTGTTTGTAGCCCTAATGTCTTTGTTGTTGTTGATTTTCTGTTTGTAGCACTTATGTCTTTGTTGTTGTTGATTTCCTGTTTGTAACTCTAATGTCTTTGTTGTTGTTGATTTTCTGTTTGTAGCCCTAATGTCTTTGTTGTTGTTGATTTCCTGTTTGTAGCACTAATGTCTTTGTTGTTGATGATTTCCTGTTTGTTGCTCTGATGTCTTTGTTGTTGATTTATTGTTTGTAGCACTAATGTCTTCGTTGTTGTTGATTTCCTGTTTGTTGCCCTAATGTCTTTGTTGTTGTTGATTTCCTGTTTGTAACCCTAATGTCTTTGTTGTTGTTGATTTCCTGTTGTTTGTCCTAATGTCTTTGTTGTTGTTGATTTCCTGTTTGTTGCCCTAATGTC